CTGATCTTTTCTGGCCATCTGATCTTGAGTATTGAGCGGAGACAGTTGTTAATGAAGGTTTGAAGTTTGTTTGAGATGCTCTTTATGACTCGCCAAGTCTCTGATCCGTATAGTAGCACTGACTTCACATTGGAGTTGAAAATCCGGATCTTATTTTTGATGCTGATTGCTGTTGACCTCCACACAGATTTGAGAGTAATGAAAGCTTGTCTTGCTTTTCCGATTCTGGCTTTGATGTCCTCGTCAGTTCCGCCTGTAGTTGAGACGATGCTTCCCAGGTAGGTGAAGGAGGTTGTTTCTTTCAGGTTCTTCCCATTTATGCTTATTGTGGTCTGTTGTTGTTGATGTTGGCTAGGAATCTTCATTATCTCTGTTTTATCTATGTTCACGTGAAGTCCTATCTTTGATGCTTCTTCTGCCAACTTGTTACTTTTCACTTGCATATCTTCCAGTTTATGGGAAATCAGACATATATCATCGGCGAAATCCAGATCCTCCAAGTCTTTTGTGTCAGTCCATTTTATGCCTGTTCCCTCGTTGGTTGCCGTTGTCTGTCGCATTATCCAATCAATTGCAATCAGGAAGATCATTGGTGATAGTAGACAGCCTTGCCTCACTCCCGTCCTCACTTCGAAGGCTTCCGTAAGTTTCCCGTTGTGGATTACTTGGCATGCAGCATTGTCGTATAACTGTTGGATGAGGTGTATAATTGTCGATGGGACCCCGTAGTAGCGAAGTAGTTTCCAAATGACCTCTCGATCGACGCTGTCGAAGGCCTTTTCAAAGTCGATGAAGTTGAGATAGAGAGGTGACTGCCATTCCAAGCTTTGTTCAATGATGATCCGTAGAGTGGCGATTTGATCAATACATGATTTGTTTCTCCTGAATCCAGCCTGTTCCGGACGAAGTTTTTCATCTAGGGCTTGTTTGATTCTCTCCAGGATGATGCGACTTAGTATCTTGCTTGGAATGGACAGAAGCATAATTCCACGCCAGTTTTTACATTGACTTAAGTCTCCTTTCTTTGGAAGTTTGAATAAGTAACTGTTCTTCCAATCCTCGGGTACTTTGCCCTCTTTCCACACCTTCTCCAGTAGTGGTGTCATCAAGTCCGCTGTTGTCTCTGGGTCTATTTTCAAAGCCTCTGCTGGGATTCCATCTGGTCCCGGTGTTTTCCCAGTTTTAAGCATCTTGATTGCATTCAGGACTTCTGATTTCGTCGGGGGGTCAGTGTTCACTGGTAGTTCTGCTTCCGTTGTTGGTATTGCTGGACGTGTTGTAGGTGGCGGACGATTTAGAAGTCTTTTGAAGTGTTCAACCCAGTGCTTTCTCTGTTCCACCTCTTTGGTGATTGACTTTCCATTGTCGTCCTTTATTGGCTTAATCTGTGTCGAACGTTTGCCCGAAAGGTTCCTAGTTGTTTGGTAGAGTGTGGCGAGGTCTCCTTTGCCTGCAGCTTGTTCTGCTTCGTTTGCCATGGTTTCATAATATTTTCTTTTGTCTTCCCTGGCACTTTTCTTCACTCTTTTGTTCAGTGTATTGTAGCTTGCATTCAGCTCCTGTTTTTGTTGCTCGTCCGTGCACTGGATAATCTTTTGCTTCACTGTCCTTCTCTCTTCTATTAGTTTCCAAGTGTCCGTAGTGAGCCACTGTTTGTCCTGTCTCTTTTTTCTGCCTAGAATTTCTATGCAGGTTTGGCTCCACACCGTTTTCAAGTTGTTCCAGTGCTTTTCAACGCCGACCTCTTCGCTAGTGTTGATTTGTGTCTCGGCTTTGTCCTTTATGCTTGCAATGAAGATGTCCTTTGTAGCCTGGTCCTTCAGCTTTTGAGTGTTGAACTTGGCTTGTGGTCTATCTGCAGCTCCTGATTCCCTGAAAGCTTTTAATTTGATTTGGATTGTCCCTTGTACGAGATAGTGGTCTGAGCCAACGTCTGCTCCTCTTCTTGCTTTTGTGTCCAGTAGGCTGCGCCTCCACTTCCTTGAGATTGAGATGAAGTCGATTTGGTTTTTGGTTTGCCCGTCTGGTGACACCCATGTAGCCTTGTGGATATCTTTGTGCTTGTATACACTGCCACCAATCACCAGTTCGTTGAAGGCGCAGAAGTCGGCGAAGAGTTCTCCGTTTTCATTCATTTCTCCTAGAGCTTCTCTACCCAATGAACAATAAAAGTTTTAGTAATCATAGATTCAAAAGATGTGATTATAAGTATGAAAAGTTATGAAACAGTAACATGAAGCGCCATACTGGTTTCATCGCTGTCATCAGCAATCTAGGTAGGCAGAGGATCTAGTTGATAGGTAAACTTCTTCAGTGGTTAAGCGTGAATTTACTTCAAGAATTTTATGCCCCAGTTTTTTGGAATATTCGCGTATAAACGTTTGAAAAAGAGCGCACTTCATGAGATGTTCACTTGTAAAGGACTAACAGAGGTTACTAACTAATGACGAACAATGAACAAACTGTCTCTTATGAATGAGAATAAGTATCTAAAATCTGTAAGCTGCAAGGCGTAACACGAACACAAATTTACGAATAGCCTTCCGGATAGTCAGCCTACAACAAGCCGGTGATTCAAAACTTTCTACTATCATTTTAAGCATCCAATTACAAATATTACCTTCAGTCAGATCCTCAAATCTTATGAAGTAACTAGAGAAAGAGCATGACTGAGCAAGTTGATGTTCATCTCTAGTAAAACTGATGTCATGTGAAAGACATCTGCTCTCTTACTTCAAGCTACACAGCGTAGTTGGACGTATTATCCATCTTATTAACTGGATTCCAATTGTAAATGACTGAATTCCTTTGTAATTGTTTCAGCTTGTAACTAAAGCTTCATCTTTCGACTGACTTACTTTTTAAATGTTGCAAAATTATTTTTTGTTAACTTCATCTCCATAGTTTATTTATGGGTAGCGTACATGAATGAACTCTTAGCAGTCGAACTTCATACTTTTACCTTGCACCCGCTTTTTGCAGTTAGGAATTCAAAACGATATTTGAGGCCACTGATACCGATAAATCAATATAACTGTCCATTCAGAATGTCAAGAAGGTTTTGAAAAATAATATTAGCAGTGAACTGATAGATAATTCGACCAGGCTATTCATGAGCCAACATGACGAAAACGAACGATCAGCAGTGACTGACTGATGGGTGAGCCGCACTATACGCCAACATAAATCAGTGAATCAATCAGTGGCTGTTGACCGTCTTTTGTGAATTTAAAATAACTAATGTTATGCAGTAGTAGCTTGAAAAGTGAGATAGATTTTATTCCTCTATCTAATGTTCTCCGCATCAATGAGAACGGAGAGCTATATATTTGTCGACGAACTGTCAAAAGTATGCTTTCAGTTTGTTTAATATCAATTTACCTCCCACTAATTACCTCTGTTGAGTTCACTGAGTGTTTTGCACATCCTTGAAGGTTACACGACCACCAAAATGCATTTCAATTCCAAAAAGCAAGTGGAAAATTTGCTATGAACTAAGACTAATATTTTTCAATCATTTTGAGAGTTGGATATCTGCGCCTTGGTGGTGAATTTTTGTTGTTTGAAGTAGTCATTTATGTTTCTTTACAATGAATCGATAATTAGCTAGACCACCTTTTTAAACTTCACTTAATAGACAATGGGGAATCTTTATTGTTGGTATACGGACACAAATCCAGATTGGTTGGTGGATTGAAGATCTAATCATTATTTCGCTTCTTTTCCTTTTTATTGTGGCATATGTTCTGGTATTGGATACACTGGCTATGAGCGGATATTGGGACTTTGCTTTTGACGTGAAGAGACTCTTTCATTCTTTCGAATTGAGGAAATTACATTTCTTTGACTTGCTACTTTGTTTGGCATAGGTCATGTCTTTAATGACTTCATTGCACGTGATGCCACTATATTGTTTTTGGTTCGTTACTCTGAAGGTGGTGAGAATCCTGTTACATATTCTGTCTGTCATGTATTCACGGAAGTGACAAAGTTTAGCTGTATTCATTGTGTGGAAAGATAGTACTGACTCCGGTAGCTTCTTACATAGTATTGTTGCTTGGATATTATGTTTCCTTGTATGGTCCGGATATTTTCTAGTCAGTGTGTTCCAAGATTTTCAAACTCTTCACTGTAGTGGGTTGGTCACATTGATTGAATGGCATCAAGTTAGGCAGCCATTCCCTCTACATCTTTCCGTTGTGTTATGTGACCATCTGGTTGCTCAGAATACTGGTGGCCTCAGATCTTGTATTTGATCCTGTAGACTACATATAACGCTTCTTTTTTAATATTAGATAAAAATCTCTATTTCCATAGAATTTTTTAATGGAGTTGGCTAAACCTTGAAGTGATCAATTTTCCCTTAGCTAATTAATCATTCGGCCAGAAGACGTCTTCCCAACAACGCTTCAGTTATGGTTCCAGATGAATGTTACTGGACTATGAAAGAAATACGACAACAGTTTTGAGTAATTCTAACTGGCAGTTTGTCAAGAATGAGAGCTGGTAAGTATAAATACGACTTCGGATTTTATAATGTTCTACCTATGATCATATGAGTATACTGAATAGCATTCGCACAAAATCAAATCGAATCTTTATTTGCAGTTGGTAAATACATTAAAGTAAGTCATCTACTGACTTAAAATACCAGTTACTGTCAGATAAAGTCATGGAGTACGCATTGAATTATCCCTTACTTTTGATGTAACGAACTTAAAAACTATTGTATTTCTTTTTTGAGTTATGGTAGCCATACAGAGCTTGAAGTGCATACATGATTACAAATAGTGCGCCATAAGCTTTTCGTCCTTTTTACAAAAACACCTCGGTGAATTTCCCCTACATGTACTTCAGAAAAATACTGTGAGGTATGATGAGATTATACAAATATCGAACACCCTTTGGATTACTGAGTAACTAGGACTAAAGGAAACCACTGACTTCAAATTAAAGAAGTATCCACAGGAAATTGAGACACACTTTGTTTTATATAAATATGTCCAACAAATTTATTAACTTGCGAATGTTTATGAATAGGACATAGTATGATATAACAGAACTCTAAAAACTGGTGCACTTGACTAGTTAGTAACATGGAATGGAAGATCTGATATTGTTAACTCAGTGATATTTTGCAGTTCCACCATGTTTAGGAATAAACGCAATGTTTTAAGACAGCAATGTGAAAATTTGTTCTACTAGAGACAGATCAATACGACTAAGTTGATACCTGCAAAGTAAATGCACAATTTATCAGAATAATATGAGACCTTTCAAGTGATTCACTTGAAAATATTTCAGCGTTTATTACGGTTAACTGAATTTTAAATCTGGATTATATGTTTAATCTTCAAATTATTACAACCACCTTTTCAACACTTGTTTAAAAGTAATTTAACTGGTTTTTAGCTTCTGTATTCATTTTCCTATTTCCTTATTCATGAATAAGTTTGTTTTAGTTTACAATACACCTCCATCTGCAAATTTTACTCCATTTTTATCTCAGGTTGTGTAGTGAAAAATGTAGCATATCTTTGTCAACTAGTTGGTGAGTACCTAATGTAAGTCCTTTAACACGGAACCGGTCGTTCTGCATTTACAAACCAAATGCTACCAACTAACACCTATAATATCTTTCTAGCAAAATTTCAACCGACAACACACGCAACAACTATTCGGTGGATTACATGTTTCCACGATAGAACCATATGTATTCCCGCTAGTAAAAGTAGGTACGACATACATACGCACTTCGAATAGTATTACAGGTGAAAATACCAGTTTAGTCAGCGTGAGTATGTACAAGACATAATAAATTTAAATACGGTGAATAAAAACAGTACTTGCATGTCAGCAGTTTGCTGATCAGTTCAACACTATCTATCGTAATATAAAAGGTGAGAAGATATTACTTTTTAAAATTAAAATAAGGTTATATAATTGAAAATGCTGAATATCAGAATCAACAATGAATTGTTTTAATGTGCAGGGGCAAATAATTCAGCTAACTCATCAATACTCCATTCATTATCACCATCCAAGTCATGTTCTGCCATGAAATGTTGAACAACGTCGTCTGAAAGGTCAGTGCCATATTGATTTTCTAAGAGACTCTTCACTTCCTGTGAGGAAAGCTTTCCTGACTTGTTGGTATCTGCAGCTTCAAACATAGCTCTTACATATTCCCTAAAAAACGAAGGAATAGAATGAAACGTTTTCAGGTTTTATTCGTATGTGAATGTAACTGCTCTTTAAAAGTTGTGAATAGCATCTCATTGGAAAATACTTATACTCACCGATCGGCCATAGCTGGAAAACAACAGAAAAAGAAGCTTCTGAAAGTGTTACAAGAAAATGTATTAAGGCAGAGTGGAGTGTGTATTTATATGCTAGAATTATCATCCAATCGGTCATCTGACCCACAATGTGAGATACACACTTGCATATGATGTTGCACTTGTAAGAGAGGCGAGTGTTTGTTTCAAACTGTCATGTGGTATTCTTACTTAATTCACCGAAATGATAAACAATATCAAGAATTTAGTCCTATCATGGGAGAATGTTGCATAAAAACTCACATGTCAGGTTAAGATCTGTGTAAATTTAAGTAGATTTATCTCCATTGCTAGGTACAACAGAAATTAAGTGAAAATAAAATAAATAGAAAGGGATAAGAAAACGAAAGTGGTACTGTTTTTTCATTAAAACATAAACTTTTCACTTAACAAACGAAGAGTGAACATAAATATCATATGGTGATTAGCTGTTTTAGTTATTGTACTGTCTAAATGTTCACTACTGTTTGTTTCTATTCTATTGTAAATACATAATACATATAATTCTGCCGAATACAAATTCTTGATTTTCCTCCTCTACTGGTATTCGGTCAATGAGGATTACAATAACAAATAAGTATTATGTATCATTTTTCTGATATTGAATAGCACTGGGTCCCTTGACCTGCATTTACTTTTATTTTGGGCCTATCAGCTGAATTCGTCTGCATTCCAATGAATGAGGAGTATTTTACTGAGATTAAAACCTCGAATGAATCATCGCAAGTATCAAGGCATTATCCACCACACCAGTGAATTGTGACAGCTGCCGTATCCAGGTAACAATCTGATAACCACCAGTATCTGGCCTAAGACCACACTCGTTACAGTCAATTCACTGCTAGTCACTGATAAAGCAACAAAAGACTAAAAGCGATATTCCGTTGTCTGTTCAACAGGTTGACATACTGACGGATGCATGTTATAATCCGTCGAACACAAATATAAAGACATAACGAAAGAGAAATATACGTAGTGTGTCGAGAGCAATTATATATGGTGTATTCCTTTTTTGAATTGGTGCCACCTGCTTCATGAGGTGGGCATTATGGAGTTTCAATAAATAGGCCGTATATGCTAGAATGATTTCATGAAAATTCAAAAATATACGTTTAACTTTTGAATTTACTGCATCCTTATACCATAACATTGCGTAGGTGTCAGATCCTAACAACACTTTCTGGTAAAAGTGCAGCAAGTGTGACGTAGTTCAAGTATACATAATATATGAGTCAGAAAAGAATTTTTAATGTGAAATCTACAACTTGTCAATAAACCACCATAGCAAGGAACTACGACTCTATAATTAGCAGAAATATGCAATACAGTCATTCATGTGTCCCCAAAAGTTCTTACCCTATAAGTAATTCACCCGTAGAACTGCTGTTAACAGCTTGTTAAATAAACAAAAGTATCATGCGGATGATTTCTCAACAAACTAAGCAGCTAAAGAATTATTTTTATCAGTGTCTGTACACTCACAGTAAAACTGATGACTTTGTTTCAGGCATCTGCGTCCATAATGTACGCCACTGTACTCAAGTGACATAATAGTTCGATTATATGTATGATTCATGGGGCTGAATCAGGCCATTATAACACCACCATTATAAATTGGGTGGTGGCTGTGTACTACTGAATAGTCCTAAACTAGAACGAAACAGCTATCCAGTACTCCCAGGTTTTCCAGTGGTTCTCTAAGTGATGTCAGCTTATGATGAAATTCTCCATCCAATCAAAGTAAATCCCTACAAAACCAATAGCTGAGAATAAAGTTTTGCTAAATGATTGGGCAATAATCTGTTCAGTCTCGAGAACTTCCAGGTAATAAAAATGCAGAGGGAAAAGCATGGTACTATGTCCTTTCGACCTGACTATTCATTTAGTGACCTGGATAAAAGAGGTGAAGACTCTGTTATATTAATGATTATCAGGTTATAACTATTCTGTTTGAATAAAAGATTTTCGACATAGTCTAAACTCAGCATTTGATTCCGTAGTCGGTTTTCCACAACTTTCAGTTTACTCTGTAGTCACAAAAGAGTGTGAAGTTACCATATGGAAACTTATCACGTTTGAGAAAAACTGACATCATGGATTCCAGTGCTAGCCGCTATGAAACAAACAACATCACGTTAATTTCCAAATATCGTCAAAGAGTTAGTATCGGAAGTATTTCGGTCCAATATAAATCAATCAAGGCGAAATATAACACTACTTAAACAAATTACTTCCGCCTTGTTTAAAACTTCTACGTTGGTAATATTTCTCAAAAATGTTGTTAATCTATGAAGATTTTGTGTGACTACATGATCAGCACTAGCCAAAATTTACAAAAGTATCGAATAAATGACTTTTGTTCACTTTTAGGGACTGATATTCGGAAGTGTTGATAGTAATGTCAAACAATCACTCTCTTTGAATGAATTATAAACTCCTATTCAGGATTAAATGAAATAATTTGCCTAAACAGGATTCAACATCAATGGGAAAGTATTCAAATATCAGTATGATTTTTGAATTTATTATTTTCTTTTTGTAATAAATAAGTTTAAATTCAGAGCTGTGATAGTACATACTAACTGAAAAATTTAACTAAAAACTGTCTTCTTTTCAAGAGACTGTTAAATTTCACCACATGTTTTTCATCGACATTTTCTTTTAATTATTTCTTTAACATACCGTTCATTATTTTTATGATATTTAACCAATAATCATTCTGATATCCATTTTCCTGGCGGCGATTTACAAGAACATTCCTTCGATTATATATTTTCAATAGTGGGATTTGAATGAAATAGTGGGACGTGTAAAAACTAAATTAGTTAAGAATAAATTTACCTGTTAGGATACAAGCTTTATAACTAAATTAGTATAGATTATACCATAAATATAAGCTAAATAAATTGCTCAGTTACCTGTAGTGTTTTAAGTTTTGTTTTAATAGGTGCACATATGAGCAGGCTGTGATGGAATATTTCTCTCTCTTCTTGTTGGTTAGTACGCTAAGTTCAAGGGATCCTAGTTAAACCATTTGTTGAATATCATCATAATCTGCAATTAATGGTGTTCTCTGAGCTGTTTGGTTTAGTTGCGGAGCTTTCGTCGTCTTTCTGGACGACGTCTTCAGCGCAGTATTTAGCATAAAGTCAAATGATTTAAAATCTGTATGAATGATGGTACAATTGTGTCTCCTGGTGACCAACCATCTTTACATATGTATTGACCGTTTTCTATTGATTGGGATTTTAAACTTTCTGGTCACCTGATTTGCTTCTTATTAGTTGATATATTTCATCTATATTAACGTGTTTATTAATGGCATTTCCGTTTGAGTACCAGACTTCTAGGAATTCCCTGGCACATTTGGTGTTTCCTCTGTTTAAGATTTTGATATTATCCCAATCAAATTGATGTCCATAATTGTCTGTATGCATTGATACTAAAGAATTTATATCATGTCTTTTCACGGCTGATTTGTGTTCTTGGATTCTTATTCGAAGGGGACGCCCACTTTGGCCGATGTAATGTTTGTTATAGTTCATACAATTTATTTTGTAAATGGTGTTAATTTTATCTCCTTTTTCTATCGGATCGAATTAAGCGATTCTACTGGTTTGTGTGGATTATTGCTAGAATAGTTGAGTATTTGATCTGTGTGAGTTGATAGAATAATGAAACCGTTTGATATAGATGTAGCACATTATTGTATTAATTCTGATACCAGGAAAATAGGATCATGAATTCATGATCATATTTTCCTGGTATCATAGACGTTATGTCACTAACGTCAGAAAGTATACCTGACCATATAAGTTTGAGTTTTAGCGATAAACAAACACTACAAGCATCACATCATGAAAAATAATGTCCTTCTCCATTATTTCACTCGCGCCCTTTTCACATGACAAGTTATCATCCTGAGATACAAAAGTTAAATTTATTTCAGTGGCAAGTTTTAAATATACCTACAAATTCCATGCCACGGATAGCTTGCCAACATTCTGTACATCAAAAAATACAAAAACAGGATTCAAAACAGCCCTTGTCCGTTTCCTTTTTGTAATTTAGAATTTTTCTTCTCGTCCAACAATTTACCATGACCCATCGTGTAACGGTATTATAGGACAGATGTCAGCGCCGCAACGTACGAGTGTATATGAAGATTTTTTAAACCTACTACAGAACATTTGTGGATTGCAGTCAAATTAGAGTTTGCCGAACTGAATACAATGTGTTTGAGAGCCTCACAACATGCTATTCGCAATCAGCAGTAGGCGACAAACTGGAGGGTTAGACAAATTTCCCCGGTAGTTTTAATGTAGTTCCACTAACTAGTTTTGTAGAATATACGCGGCACCCGTTCCTAAGGAAGTTTCGATGCCAAGGAGAACTTACTGTATAGACTCAGTGTTTACATCTAACATCGTGGTCTTCAACAGTTGGTGGATACAGTCCACTTAATAATTTGCCTGTAAGTCTCGGGTTTTGGTTCGGAAGTATATGAAGCCGAAATTTTTTGATAATGCTTAGAACAAGCTGTTTTCAAATAACCATTCTCAACGGGTTTATTGCAAAATGGTGGTTTGAAATTGGCAGATGACAGATCCACGGAAATATATGAGATCAACTTTTACAGAAATTGGTTTTATGTATGCTTAGCGAATATTTAACACTGTTGAAATGAACACTGATTTTTAAGTGCTGCGATGTACTTTGAGCGGCTAAACACTGCTCATTCATGTTCCCGTATTTTATAAATTCAAGTTTACTTTTAGCTCAATTTCTCAAGTCTTCACTTGTTCATTTTTATATAACATCCCTGGTATTCAGTCGCGCCTTGTAACTGTCTGTAGGGGAATCAGTTCATAAACATTTATACAAATGTTAACAGTACTTTGCTTGATAAATATCAGTTAACAAAATTATCGGTTGTCCTAAAATTCTGTGACCAAAGATATAACATCATCCATATTGACAAGAATTTTCCATATACAAGCCTAATTTTTATGAACTATTGCGTCCCACCATCTGTGAACGAACATCCACACCAAACTGCATCTTGATTAATCCTCTGTCTGTCCTCCGTTATTCTTTTTGTTCTCAGTTTCATACTACTTACCAGTGGTAAGTGGTGTGAGTTCATAATTTGTTACTCCATAACCATAACCGTTGTTTGCCACTGAAGTTTAACTCCCGTAATATAGTTATATTCCATTGGATATAGATTTGTTATCTCGTTATACTTATATATTATCAGCTGCATACGCTATAGCCTTATCTGTGCACATTGTTTATTCAGACCCGTTCATCCTTTGACTGGCGTTAACGCGCTGTTTAATCTGACAGCTTTCGACTGCTTTGCAGGAGTGGGTGTGCGTTTAA